TTAGACTATAATATAAGAAGTTTGACTCTTTTATGGGTTCTCTTGAGTTTAAGTGAAGTAACATTGATTGTTATGTTTACTTCAAAATGAGTTGTGATGGTTTGCCTATATATTTGATTCTTTATTTTGATGATATGTTGATAGTTGTGAAACATAAAAAATATATTAGACAGGTGAAAACACAACTTAATAAGGAGTTTGAGATGAAAGATTTGGGTCTTGCAAAGAAGATACTTGGAATGGAGATTAGAAGAGACAGAAAAGCAAGCAAATTGTACCTAAGTCAAAAGGGGTACACTGAAAAGGTTATTCGCTAGTTTAATATGCAGAGCTCAAAGTCTGTAAGCACTCCACTAACAGCTCACTTCAGATTTTCATTGGATTGTTTGTCAAAATCATATGAAGAGGTAGAGTAAATGCCATGTGTTCTATATTCTAGTATTGTGAGATCTCTAATGTATGCTATGATTTGTACACATCCAAACCTAATGTACTCAGTCAAATTAGTGAGTAGATACATAGAGAACCTTGATAAAGAACATTAGAAAGTTATCCAATGGAGTTTCAGGTATCTTCGCGATACTAGTGATGTTTGCTTGGAATTTGGATAAACTAGATATGGAGTCATAGGGTATGTTGGTTCTGATTTTTTGAGAGATCTTGATAAGAGATCACTTGTGGGTACGTCTTCACAGTTGAAGGATGTACCATTAGTTGGAAAACTACCTTGCGGAGTACAATCGCATTTTCAACTACTGAAGCAGAGTATATGACAATCATTGAAGCTTGTAAGAAAGTGATATGGTTGAAGAAACTTTTTGGTGAACTTAATGAAGACCTTCATATTAGTACAATGTTTTGTGATCATTGAAGCTTGTAAGGAAGTGATATGGTTGAAGAAACTTTTTGGTGAACTTGATGAAGACCTTCATATTAGTACGGTGTTCTATGGCAGCCATACTGCAATATTCTTAACGAAATATCAAATGTTTCATGAGCGGGCGAAACATGTTGACTTTCACTATCACTTTGTGCGTGATCTAATTGCTCGAGGTGACATTATTGTGAGCAAAGTCATCATTCGGCACTCGAGACAATCCTACGAACATGAGGACCAAAGCGCTCCCTACAACTAAATTTGATCATTGATTGGACTTGGTCGATGTCTATTACTGAAGATTACCCCTTAGAGGTATGTTGTGAAAGAGGTGGAGAACTTGTTCGTTGAAGTGAAGAATTGTTTTCTTTTTTGAGTTTGGGTGACTCATTGAATTTGGGTGTTTTGTCTCAAATCCTTCGCACTTTCAGAATTTGTGTTAAGGTGGAGATTTATTAAAGTTTGACTCGAATTCAAAGTGACACAATTTAATTGGGAAAGTAATAATCCTATTTTGATTAAAGTAGAGAACTTTATTAAAGTAGTTACATAATTTAATTAAGAAAGTATTTATCTTTATAAATATATAGTAAGGGTAAGAGTTAGATATCAAGTTTTTCTTTCCCTAAAATCCTCTTGTATTTTATTCCTTCTTATTAGTGAAATTCTTCTCCTCTACCCGTGATTTTTTATACACACATGCATACTTGAGCTTCACTAATTCCATATTTAGCGCGTGATTATTTTCATTTGTAGATAGTTAATTTGAGATTCATAAATTTTCGAAAGTTGCATCTCTTGACGGAAGTTGATAGAATCTTAAGAGTAACATTTTGATAATTAGCGTTATTTTATGATATGTACAATATTTATATAAATGTGGTTCTTAAATTATTTTTTAAAAGTTCATTATGAGTAATATGTTGATAGTAAATTGCATGACATTAGAATTTTGTAAAGTATAATAAATTTATAACCCTTCTTGTAATTTTTTTGGACAATAGGAAATGGTATAGCATGAAATATTTTTGTAATTAGGAGATTACATAAATTGAGGAATACATGTGTTTTTTAGTGTTAAAAATTATCCATGTGAGTTGTATGTTCATCTAGATATGTTTTTAGCAGTTGCACAAATCAAGTGATCTCAGTAGTAAATAAATTATTGTTATTCCTTAAGATCTTGGGTTCAAGCACCATGAATGCTAGGGGTATGAGTGTCCAATATCAAATTGTTGAGAGTTATCTTTGAAAAATACTAATGGAGAAATAATTCAAACTTTATTGGTTCAAAATAATAACGGAGAGTAAAAAAATTAGCATAAAATCATTTGAAAAAAATCTTCCCCTCAATAAAAGTATTTCATGAAAAGTTTTGGTACAAAAAATCAACACTTAAAAGAGTATTGAATTTCAATAAGATAATAGAGAAAACACATTAGTAGCACACGAAATTCAATAAATCCAAGTTAATCATAATTTATGCAATATCAAAAAATGAGACATTATAACATGTTATGCATTTGAAAATGAATATCAATTGTTTGAGAGATATTATTTGTAAGTAAAAGCACAAGCATAAACATTCAAATTAATGTCAAAAAAGAAAATAAATCATTAAGGAATAAAAGTTTAACTTGAACAAAAAAACATTGATGAACTAAAATTTAATAAAAACATTTAACTTTAAAACATGTCCATCATAACATATCTTCAACATACATGAGATAGCAAACAACATATAAACAATTATGTTAAAAAACTCATGCATGTATTAAAAATCAATAGACAACCAATATACAAAATCAATAAACATTAAGTTTCGAGGTTACCTATCATTCTTTTTTGTGATTTGAGCATTCAAATGTCTTTACATTTCACTTCATTGCTCCAATAAACCTACAAGAGACATTTATTTGAATTTTGGTACCCAAATTTTTTTGAGTACTAGAGAGTTAGTACCAATGTCTCTAGTTCCTTTAGGAACTTATACTTGTTGATTTTTAAAATGTTTTCTACTTTAGATAGGACAAGTATGTAGAGTATGACCATGATAATGATAATGTGAGTATTTTTCCATTAATGAGCTAGATGAATTGTTTAAAATGATTTCTTTTTCTTTGATTAAGCTTTCAAGCTTAATTTTCAAATCAAAATTTTCTTTTCCAAAATCTTCAATTTTAGTTTTTGAATACAATCTTTTCTCAAAATTTCATTATTTTTCAAAATCCATTTTTGCATTCAACAGAAAATCATTTTCATTTTTAGATTTAGAAATCAATTTCGTGTATTTGGAGCTCATGGTCTCAAACTCCAAAAACAATTCGTCATAGGCGTCTTGTAACCCATTAAAAGAATAAAAATTTAAATCACTAGAGCTAAAAGATACATTTGAATCTTCTTAGGCTTAGTGCGAAAATAAGTTCCAAAACTATACTCAAAGTTAACTTTAGGTGCCTAAAGAAATTTTCGTTAAAAATAGGTCCTAACATTTCCAACGTTACACTTTTAGGTGCCTAGACCGTTAACATTGTTAAATTCAGCCATTACTGAGGATTAACCCTTGGAGGGGTGTTATGAAAGATATGGAGAACTTGCTTGTTGAAGTGAATAATTGTTTTTGTTGAGTTTGGGTGCCTCATTGAGTTTGGGTGCCTCGTTGAGTTTGGGTGTTTTGTCTCGAATCTTTTGCATTTTCAGAATTCGTGTCAAGGTAGAGATTTGTTAAATTTTGACTCAAATTCGAAGTGACACAATATAATTGGGAAACTAATAAACCTAGTTTGATTAAAAGTAGAGAACTTTATTAAAATAAAATTTTACTTTATTTAGTTTTCTTTATAATCAAGTATATATCCCTATAAATAGATACTAAGAGTAATAGTCAGATATCAGGTTTTTATTTCTCTAAAATCCTCTTGTATTTTCTCCCTTCATATTAGTGAAATTCTTTTCCTGTCTGTGATTTTTCTTTTAGAGTTTTCCGCATAAATCTTGATACCTTTGTTTTCTTTTTTGATTGTGTTTATCAATAATCTTATTACAACATAAATGGTTCAATTACTTTCCTTGTTAAAAACACATGTTTATTGCGATAGTTTTATTAGATACATATAATAGAACTCTCATAATTTATTTGCATTGTGATATTGATAGCAATTATATAGCACTTATAAATGTTGTATAGCAATGGTAAATGAAGCTTTAATATACGGTTATGTCATTATTTAAGTAATTTGTTTTTAATTTCTTATGATTATATATAGAGAGAGAGCTTCGCTAAATTTCATATTTAGCGTGTGATTGTTTTTAATTCGTACATAGTTAATTTGAGATTCATAAATTTTTTAAAGTTGCATCTCTTGACAAAAGTTGATAGTATCTTAAGAGTAACATTTTGATAATTAGTGTTATTTTACGATATGTACAAGATTTATGTAAATGTGATCCTTCAATTATTTTGTAAAAGATCATTTTGAGTAATATGTTGATAGTATATTGTATGACATTAAAATTTTGTAAAGTATAATAAATTTATAACCCGAAATATTTTGTAATCAAGAGATCACATAAATTGAGCAATACATGTGTTTTTTGGTGTTAAAAACTATCCGTACAACCTAGAAGTTATATGAATCAATCGATCTTGATGGTAAAAGAATTATTGTTATTCCTTAAGATTCCAAATTCAAACACCATGAATACCATAATTATGAGTTACATGAATCAAACGATCTTGATGGTAAAAAATTATTGTTATTCCTTAAGATCCCAAATTCGAACACCATGAATACCAGAATTACGAGTGCCAATATCAAATTGTTAAAAGTTATTTTTGAACAGATATTACATTGTACTTATCACAAATTAATAAAAAAAAAATATGTTTTAAGAGTTTTTTTTATTATGTTCATTGCATTACAACATTCTTTCATGTATGAACTTGCACTTGCTCTTCCTGGCATAGGCAGGGCCATGATTGTTGGCCGCAACAGCCACCCCACCAGCCGGCAGGTCACTCTCCTCTTAAGTGGTGGTATTGCCACCGCCGCAGTTGCCTATTCCCTTGGAGAGATGCTCAGAAATATTGTTGGTCTTTTATACCAATAATTACCCAAGTGAATGACAGGGAACACACCTTGCAAAGTATGAATTTGTATAGCACACGCCACATTTGAATGTGGAATTTAAAAAAAAAACGTACCCTAAATCTAGAACGTAGATAATGATGAGCAGCTAACTTAGAAAATCTGCTTATTGTGAATAAGGGCAAGTCATACAACACAATTTCCTTCACTTAGAGATAATTGCAGAGCATGCTCCGCTTCCTTCAGGAACAAACGAGTCGGTTCCTTCTGCCCTTTTCGATACACTATGCTACACCACCTGTTCCTACTCATCACCTTGTGCCGGACTAAGTCATCGACCTCCTTGCTACAAAAAAAAGCAAGTAAGATGGATCCTTATTTTTCGATGTATAATTTTCACAAATGAAACAGCAAAAACTGGAAGTTCAAGGTGGGATATAATAGGGAGGAGGAAGGAAATTCTGTAAAGAATCATAATGAATCGAATAGCCAGAACCAATTAAACTATAGACGTCAATGACAGCGTCTTTTCGTTGAAAGGGGGAAGTCTAAACTTCTCGAATACCTTGTTTGTTGTTCAGGGCTTCCAATAATGCATGCATTCTCAAGTAGTTCGGAATCACAATCCTCTATTCCAGAACTCTCTTCAAGGTCCATCATCCTTGCCAAAGAGAATGAGTAAGTCGTAAGACATTTTGTTTGATAATCACATGAATGATGTGGGAGCATTTAAGTTTCAGATTGTGAGATGATCCTATAATAACTTACTTTTTCTGAAGAAGGTCAACAAGCAATTGCAGAGCTCCAGAATCCCCACAGGCTTCCCACACAGCAGTTCTTATTTCTGTATCGGATGGCTGTCTTTCTCCTTCAGGCCCAACAAGCTAGAAGGAGCAGTAATTTTAGTTAGGACAAACAATTTAAATCATTTTTCATTTTTCAAGATGAGAGTTTGAGACTCAACTTGTCCTTAAGGAATGCTACCATGTACCTTAGAGTACTATGACAGTAACTACAATTATTATTATTATTATTTCAGGTCAATAACATGATGTAGCAGAAGAGAAACCACACCTCTTCTAGCATTGAGGAAACCTTAGAAACCTCATCTTTTTGCATGTATAGTCCTCAAGGCAGTCATAAAATGTAACCCCCTAGACCCGGCCTATGCGTTTCGACTAAGTCTAGTGGATCACATTATGATTATTAAAGACATTTTTCGAAACCGTTATTCCATCAATATAAAATCACATTATAAATAACATGAAATTATAAACAAATTATACTATCAAAATCCAACTCGTAAATATAGTACCAATAAATAATAATTTAATTTAAAACATGTCTTCAAATTCAATATCACAATAAACCGAGCAGTATTAGCAAAAGAGTTATCATTATAAAATCCGATATTTTAAAATAAGGTCCATGTCACCAAAATAAAGTCAACTTGCCAGATAAAAACATTACAATTTGATTTACTTCAAGAGATATGTTGATCCTCCAAGTGCTCGAACCAAGGTATCTAACCAACAGTATCTGAAAGGGGAAAACATTTTCAAAAGGTGAGCTAGGCTCAGTGTGTCCCAACATTTCCATAAAATCACAATAGGTACAAATCATAGTCCAGTAATCTCACAAATTCATAAAAGAATTTAACTTTTTGAAAATCATAGTTTAAACCCTTTTCTGGTACACCATCAGTAGTTCCCAAAAGTATTTTCCATATAGCTTACTTTATGCACATAGCAAAAAGAAAGTCGACTTAAGGATAGGCTATGAAGCTTGTATCCTTAAGCCCAAGTCAATAAGTCCATATAGCTTACCCTAAGCACACAGCAAAGGAAAGCCGACCTAATGAAATATCTTGGGGCCCTCAAGAGTCACATTAGGCCCAGTTAGCTTGATCAGAGCTATTCCATCATATTTCAATTCCAAAATTCAATTGCACCGTGACATAAATTCCATAAATCCAAAAACATGGTAATCATATACCATTTCAAAACAAAAATTAGATAGCAGCCATATTCCATAAATTGTCACATTAAATTGGTGAATCCATAAAACAATAGCCAATGAATTCGGTGTACCACATATTAAAACCAATAAAACAGTTCAATAATAAGTAGGGAACACACCTCGACAATAGGTTCAAATAGCAAATTTACTGATTGCTGGTTTCACCACGCTCTGCTACAATTTTTGAACGGGTGAATACTGGCACACGTGGTTTAACTGATCTAGAAGAGCTGGGTCGAGCTGTCGAACGATCCGGAGAGTCTCTTGTACCTTCAAACAATAATAATCTATCAGTCCCAAATCCTATTTAATTGTTCAAAGCTAGTCTTCTTAAGTATATAAGCATTTTTCGAGTTTGACTATCAATTTGGGGTATTTCGAGTCTGAATTTGGCCAAACGGATTTCGGAAACGGAATCAGGACGTCGAAAAATATAAAGTATGACTTTTCGGAAATTCAAATTCATGGTCAAAGTCAAAGTCAACCACTTTGACCGTCGATTTGGAGGCCTTCGGGTTCGAATTTGACGAAACGGACAGTGGAAATGGATTCGGCACGTCGAAAACTATCAGGATAGGTATACTCGGAAAATATTAACGGTCGTTTAATGCTCGGTCAAAGCCATTTTAAGTTTTGGTCAAAGAAAGTCAACGGTCAACGGTCGGGTCGGGTCAAAGGTCGGGTCGGGTCGGGTCAGACCGGTCAAACTGGTTCAGACCGGTCAAATCGGTTTGAACCGATCAAACCGGTCAGAACCGGTTGAAAACCAGTTAAACTGGTTTCCAGCAGCCACTCGCCCTGCGACGGCGCGTGTGGCGCGTGAGACGTCCTCCGGGGCCCTAAAAATCCCGGAAAAATTTCTAAAAATTATTTTGAGCGATTTCGAGATACTTACAACGATCGGTTCAAATTTTTGAACGGCGGAGAGCTCGATTTCAAATCGGCCGAATCTTTGACTGCACCACCTCCTCACGCGCCGCCGTCTACGGCGGACAAGGTTGACACCGGTGAACTCGGAACGGCACAAGGAACACGATGGTACGGGAGGTGTCGTAAACGGAGCAACGATCAGCGGTGAATTTATGATTTCTTCGGCGATAGAGCTAACAAAAATGACGATGCTTTGACTTGAAATTCCCGACGTTTGGCAGCATTTCGCTATAATTGATTTACTGGGTTTTGTTCATAGGTCGAAGATGAACACGACGGTGGTTTTAATTTTACGATTGGACGTCGAACGGCGTCGGAATCGGGCTTGGAAGTAAGGGTACGAGAGAAGGAAAATTGAGCAAATTCTCAATTGTGTTTTCTGATTTACAATCAGAAACCACGCTTAAATTATAAGCCTGCCGACACTCCTTGGAGGAATTCAGGGCTTGGTCCCTGAATTTCCTTCAACTTATAAAATAGCCTATAACTTTTCATAAATTTTAGTTCAGTCATTAAATTTCACCAATTTTCACAATTAACGTCCAATTTCAATTAAATATTATTTTGTAAATATTCGGGTTGTTACAATTCTCCCCCTCTACAAGAAATTTCGTCCTCGAAATTTACCTTATGAGAATAGTTGAGGAAACTGAGCCTCCATTGACTCCAATGTCTCCCAAGTAGCTTCTGAGGGGCCTCGATTACTCCACTGAACTTTGACCATTGGAATTCGCCTATTCCGAAGAACTCTTTCATCTCTTTCTAAAATCTGAATGGGCTCCTCCTCATATGACAAATCCGGTCTCAGCTCTACTTCTTCAACCTGAATAATGTGACCTGGATCTGGACGGTATCGCCTTAACATAGACACATGAAAAACATCATGAATACGACTGAGGTGGGAAGGCAACTCAAGCTGATAAGCAACAGGTCCAACTTTCTTCAGAATACGATACGGCCCAATAAATCGTGGACTCAATTTACCCTTACGCCCGAATCTCAATACTTTCTTCCACGGTGAAACTTTTAAGAAGACCTGATCACCAACCTCAAATTATATATCTTTCCTTCTCTGATTTGCATAAGACTTCTGCCTATCAAATGCCTCTTTCAAACGGTCACGTATCAATCTGACTGTGTCCTCCGTCTCTCGCACTAACTCAGGTCCCAACGTTTTCCTATCACACAACTCAGTCCAACAGATCGGAGTGCGACATTTACGCCCATAGAGTGCTTCATAGGGTGCCATACGAATGCTGGTCTGATAACTGTTATTGTAAGCAAATTCAGCCAAAGGCAAAAATTTCTCCCAGCTACCATGAAAATCGATTACGCAACCCCGCAACATATCCTCAAGTATCTGAATCACTCTCTCAGATTGACCATCAGTTTGTGGGTGAAAGGATGTGCTATAATCCAATCTTGTTCCCAAAGCCGTATGTAGCGCCTTCCAAAATCTCGAAGTAAATCTCGGATCTCGATCAGAAATAATAGACAATGGAACACCATGCAATCTGACAATCTCTGAAATATACAATCTTGCCAGCTTGTCCAAAGTATAATTTACTCGCACAGGAATGAAGTGAGCTGACTTTGTAAGTCTGTCAACAATCACCCAAACTGAATCTTTTTTCAAAGGAGTCATAGGCAAGCTAGTAACAAAATTCATAGTAATACGCTCTCATTTCCATTCAGGAATCTTAATAGGCTGTAACAAACCTGATGGATGTTGGTGTTCTGCCTTAACTTGTTGACAAGTCAAACACCTCGCTACAAAATTTGAGATGTCCTTCTTCATATCGATCCAATGATACCTCTCTCTCAAATTCCGATACATCTTATCTCCACTGGGGTGCATAGCATATGGACTACTATGAGCCTCAGTAAGGATAGTCTGTCTCAACTCAACATCATCAGGCACACAATACCGACCTTTGAAGCATAGAACTTCATCCCGGTCAAGGGCATAATCTGAGCTTGTCCCCTGCTCTACTTGCTCAAAGATGGGAAGCAAGGAGCTATCAAAGGGCTGCTTAGCCTTGATCTCATCAACCAAGGTCGGCTTAACTTGCAATTCTGCTAACAAAGTGCCATCATCATATAAATTCATCCTGGCCATTAAAGATCTCAACTCCGATACCGTCTTTCGACTCAAAGCATCCGCTACAATGTTAGCTTTACCAGGGTGATAATCAATCACACAATCATAATCCTTCAGAAGCTCTAGCCAGCGCCGTTGTCTCAAATTAAGCTCCTTCTGGGTCAGGAGATACTTTAAGCTCTTATGATCCGTGAAAATATAACACTTCTCTCCATAAAGATAGTGTCTCCAAATCTTCAAGGAAAAAATCACTGCTGCTAACTCCAAATCGTGAGTAGGATAATTACACTCATGAGGTCGCAGCTGACGGGATGCATAAGCCACCACTTTACCTTCCTGCATTAAAACACAGCCAAGTCCTGAGTGTGAAGCATCACTATACACTGTAAAATCCTTCTCGGACTCTGGTTGAATCAACACCGGTGCTTGAGTCAAAACCGCCTTTAATTTCTCAAAGCTCTCCTGTTGTACCTCGCCCCAGTCAAACGGCACATTCTTCCTTAACAACTTTGTCAAAGGAGAAGCAATGATCGAGAAGCCCTCAACAAAACGTCGATAATAACCAGCCAAGCCCAAGAAACTGCGGATCTCAGATACGTTCTTAGGTCGTTTCCAATTCATAATAGCCTCTATCTTGCTGGGATCGACCTGAACACCTCGCGCAGAAATAATATGCCCCAGAAATGACACTTCTTGAAGCCAAAATTCACACTTGCTTAGTTTGGCATATAGACGATGCTCTCTCAAAGTCCGCAGAACGATCTTCAAATGCTCGTCATGCTCTGCCTCAGTACGAGAATAGATCAGAATATCGTCAATGAAGACCACCACAAATTGATCCAAATATGGTCGGAACACCCGATTCATCAAATCCATGAAAGCTGCAGGAGCGTTCGTCAAACCAAAAGGCATCACTAAGAATTCATAATGACCATATCTAGTGCGAATAGCCGTTTTTGCAATATCTGATCCTTTAACTTTCAATTGATAATACCCTGAACGAAGATCAATCTTAGAGAATACAGTAGCTCCTCGCAATTGATCAAATAAATCATCAATCCTGGGTAGTGGGTATTTATTCTTGACCGTCATCTTG